GGCTCTCCAGATACTCGGTGCACCTGGGTTGTGTAGAAACTCTGATCTGGGCCTGAGTTTTTTCATTGAACTGCACCCCATGCAATTCTGCATTCCCGACTAGTCTCCTCTGAGTGGTCCTGTACTGATTGGGGGTGGATCGGCTGTCCTTGCTTTGTCCCAGTGTTCCCCTGATGGGCCCATCTCCCCCACCACCCGTGCTCCCAACACTTCCCATGGGAAAGGCCCTGTGCTGGTCCTTTGCGATGACTCACCGACCTCTGAATGGCTCCCCTTTTTCAGCTGTTCTGGCTCCTCACTCCTGTGTGCGTCCACGGGAACCCTATTAGTGGTCTTGCTGTCCTGGGTGCCACCAAAGTCCTCTTCTCCCCTTTCGCCTCCAAGTAACTCCATCTAAAGGGCACAGCTGCGGCTTCTGCCAGCTCCTGCTCCATGTGCTCCAGCATTAAAGCAGCTGCAGCCCAAAACACTGAGAGCAGTTTTTTCTTTCTCTCATCATGGTTTCTTCCACCTTCATGAGTTCCATAGGTCTCTCCTCCTCTTCCCCTAAGCTCCAGCGGCCCCAGGTTGGCTGATGTTACATTTTCATAGTTGTAAATTGGTTGATTTGTGGGAGGGATGCTGGGGACCGTTTATTCCACCATCTTGACCGGAAGTCATCATTACTGATTTTAAATGGCCAATCTAATGGCATATTTTATGGGGAGAAAATGACACAGGCATTGTCAAAGGGCCATAATATTCTCTGTAATTTCTCATATACTCCAAAGCATGAGTGCTGTTTTTTCATATTATAAACATAGGATTATTTTTGCAAAATCTTTGGTTGTTTTTTCTTTTGTTCTCGTATCAAGTCATATTCCATATTTTGATATTTTTAACTCTTTTGAGTTGCATATTGCTTTGAGTAGTCATCATCTGAATTATATTGCCTTCAGAGGCATTTTCTTTCCTTTTGAATTCTTTTTTTGCTCGTTCCTTTTGGAAGTTGTGATCATAAACCGCTGAGTTGCTTGCTAGGCACTTCTCTGCAGAATGAAACTTCTGCCTTATGAACCACGCTAGTGTCACAGACTACCTTTCCCTCCAGCTAACTCTTTCTTTCTCTTTGGGGCAATGGTTTTTCAGAGGTAACCAAATATTTCTCTCAGAATCTTCATGGGTATTTTTTTTTTCTTTTGGGGGATTTTATTTTGAAATAATTTTAAACAGAAAAATTGCAGAGACCATCCATGTCTTATCCAGAGTAACTCACTAATTTTTTACATTTTGCCTCATTTCGTTTATCATTCTTCTCCCTGCCCTCATGGGCAGGTACATGTACATGCATACATGCATGCATATAGATAAACACATTATTTTTCTTTGTAGATCATTGAAGAAAATAAATTGGCCACCTGTAAACAATTTTGT